TTCGAAGCTGCAATACATTGCACAGTTGCAGGGGGCGCCACCTGAATGGCCGTCGCTGGAGCGGTGGGCGATCCAGAAGCTTTTCCCCGGCCCGTTCAACTGGCTCCCACCCGGGGTCGCCCAGCAATTGCGTGATGAATTCCAGATGCCGTATCAGGTGCAGTCGCTCACTACTTCGGGGCCTGCTGCCCAGCTTCGCGTGGCCATTGCTGGAGGTGACCATCGCCAGCGCATCCGCTTGGACGAGATGCGGATTCGGCTGCAGCGCGCCCGCTACCATGCCATTGCATCGTGGGAAATCGATTGGAGATGGCACAGCTGGTTCACGGGGGGCAGGCCGCGGTGGAAGACCTGTCCCGCCAGGGGGTCACCGAGGCGCGAGTGCTAGATCAGGGGCTGGGTCGCGGACCGCGCCCGGTCACGCTCGCGACCTGGAGAAGGTCCCAGCGGCGCATCCAAGCCTCGGCCGCGGCGCTGCTGCGGCGCCGGCACTGGCGGCTCACTGGCTTTTCGGCACTGAGCGCCAAGGTCCGGAAATGGCGCGACCCAGGTTCCTTGCCAGGTCGGCGAGCCCAGCGATGCCGCTTGGTCATGCAACGGCTCCCGAAAACAACGCCGCCTCGGGTGCGGGCCGGGCTGAACGGCTGGTGCACTGGGCGCCGATTCGGCGCTCGCGGCGGTGGCTGCCTTTTCGGGTGCAGTGGGGGCGAGGACGACGTCAGGCATTACGTCTGCTGCCCGCGGCTGTGGCGCTTCGGGGTGGACAGGCTTGGCCTGCGCGACCCTGGCAGTTCCGAGGCCCGCACCACTCGGGCGCTCTTGTGGCAGGTCGGGGCCGCCCCTGACGAGGTCGCCGGAGTAGCCACGATGATCGCAGTGGGGTACAAGGCCCACACCACGCTCCGGCACACTGCCGGACCCCGTCTGGACGTCTCGCGGCTCTTCGGCGAGATCCTGCGACAGCTGCAAGAGCCGCGGCCACGGGCTTGCGCTGACGGCGACGGGGGGGCGCGGCGCATTTGAGGCGGCTGCACAGTGGCGCCTCTCCTCCTCCTCTTCCTCCTCCTCCTCCTCCTTGCCTTTTCTCCTGCCTGGTCCAAACGGTCTGGGCCATGTTTGCTGGCAGTGCGCGCAGAGAAGGGTGCAGCAGCCTCCGCGCGCCGAATGTCGTGACATTTTCGTTGCGTGTTCTAGGCTGGCTTACTCGATACCGGCCCATGCGTTTATTTTCCGCTTTGCTGGTTTACGCGCCGTTTGGTTTTGATCTTAGGTGTTGGGTTGCTCGGAGGGGGCTCCCGCACAGACGGAGCCAACAGCGAACAGTTGGACAGTTGAGCAGCTGGCGAATGCTCTCACAACCATGTTTTTCGGCGGCACGGCCGGACAAGGTTGCATTTGAAAGCGGTTTTGTTCCTCATCAACTGCCGCCCAACGCCGAATCTCGTTACATTTTCGTTGCGTGCCCAAGGCGGCCTAGACTGAAACCGACCCAATGCTTGTACAGCGTGCGAGTGTGGTTTCAGCAACGTGGTTGGTAGCGACAGCCTTGGCGCTCGCGGGGCCACGCCTTCTGCGAAGGTCCCGCGCTCTCCTCCCTTCTCCTCCTCCCTCCTCTCCTTGTCTCTTCCCCGCCCCCCCCCGCATGCCGTCTCGGCCGTCTCACCGTTTGAATTCTTGCATGGGGGCGTTGGCACCGCCCACTGCCCTGCTGCCAGGCCTCCTCAGGTCCGCCTGGCTTCCGGGGTCCTTCGGAGCCTCCGTTGGTCCGCTCCAGGCCTCGGTTGGGCATTCGGGCTCCGCGCCCAGTTTATCAGTTGCCAAGTCTATATTGCTGGTCATCCTTTGTCTCTCCGGTGATATACAGCCGGGGGTGCTTATATCTTTCGGTCGTTTGCTTCCTTGGCTCGCTTTCTCCTCCTTCCGTTCTTTCCTCCCCCCTCCTTTTCGTGCTCGCTCCCTGTTCGAACGGGGTCCAGGTTTCGAGTGCTAGGACTGGCATCTTTTGTCTGGGGCGCAGAGCTACTGTCGCACGTTCTGCCACCGCTGTGCTGTGTTCTCCGCCGTCGGCTTCCGTCCGTAGGGAGGGTTGCCACGGGAGCGTGGTCGACCTTTCGTCTTCGCCGCCCGAGGCCCTGGGCACTCACAGGGACCCATGAGATCTTTAAGGTTATATTTCTTGGAGAGAAAAAAAAAAAGGTTTCAGGAACGGACCCGCCCCCGTGGCCCAGTCTTGTGCCCAGCCCTTGTCCATGTCCCGGAGCGGATCCTTCCCCTTCCTTCTTTCTGAACGCTCGAACTGGGTACTGAAAGAATGGGTACTATGCCCAATAGCGGATCTTGTTCATTTTGAACAAGATCGGCTGTCCACGCCGCCGCGGCTTGTCCATTCGAGACAGGAGGCCGCCTGCCAAAAAGCGGCTGCTGTTGGTTTGGGACAACATTTGTTGTTGGGCATTGTACCCATTCTTTCGGTACCCATTTCGGGCGTCCAAATTCTTGGTTTGGAGTTGGGGTGGGCGAAGGTGGAGGTGCAGGGGCGAGTTTTCGTATCGCTTGTCTTTGGGGGTGGTCCAGGCTCGCATGGACCTCCGCCCCGTGCCAGCAGGCGTGGTATTTCAGTGGCGTCCGTCAACAGGATGGGGCATCTTTCCACGGTTGCTTCTGGTGTCCATCCCAATATCGATCAATAGGTCCCAGCTGCCGAAGCGTGTGTTTTCCTGGCTTATCTTATGCACAGTGCCCTTGGGGATGATCAAGGGTATCTTTAGTGTTGTGATTGCCAGTGGTCTGTTTTCACGTTTGCTCTTCCCCGGTTTGCATCTGGTCCAGGCATGGTTGCGCACGCTGACCCAAGGCGCGCAGTGCACGAGAAGGCAACGGCCATTGGATACGAACGCGTCCACGCCTACCAATTCAAGGCCCACCTATCAGAAGATGCTGAGCAGCAGCCTGTCTGGTGTACGCGTGCAAATGCTGTCGACGAAATATGCCCGACGCGCATTATTCAGTGTATCACTGCTACTGTTACAGGTCTTGCTGATTAAATTGCGTGTGTAGTGTCTAATGCATCGAAGTTATTCGCGCAGTATCCCAACCACCGTCTTGCTCCTCGGTTGCATGTTGGAGCTCCTCCTGTCGGGATCGGCCACCACGTGGTCTGGGGCGAACATTTCGAGGTACAGTGGGGGACCATGACCAGAAACACCCTACGTTTCGTCAGGGTTCCCTGGGCTTTTTTGGCTGGCGTTCGGCGCGGAAGGTGCCGCTAGCTCAAAGAAACTGCAACTGCCAGAGCACCCTGGGTTTCTTGGGCGTCGGTCAGTTTCGGGGGCGCGCCCGAACCTCCAAGAAACTTCCGTGCGTTCGGGGTAGCTTGGTTTTTTTTCGTTTGCAGCCGAAATGCCAGAAACCCAACCCTGGACCAGGAAACCTCGGCGGATTTCAAGGGTGGCTTTCTTGCGGTGGGTTTCTTGTGCACCGACCCCCACTGTACCGCTGTATAGCCTGTTGGGCCTGCAGTCAGGGCAAGTTTTCCCTGTCCAGTACCGAATGTCCAGCCCCAGAGGGCCATGGCCCACGTGGTCAGAGCATGCGGCCCTCTTTGTGTTTTGCTGCGCTCGTTGTGCTTAGCATGCGACTGATATCCATAGGTTTCAGCAGGGGGGCCGTGGTGCAAAGTCCATGGCTGATATCACCAAACGTAGGCAATATAAGCTCCTGCATCGACGGGATCCGCGTACAGACGCAGATTTTTGGGGATATAGTTGTCCCTGTTCCTTAGGTCGAGCACGGCCCTCCCATAGATGTGGGCCCCCGGTGCTTGAGTACGCCTATACTCGTGTGTCATATGGCGCGGCCGGTGTCCAGCTTGCGTTGCTCATGTGGCTGTTGAGGTCACCGCTCCACAGGCCCACCCCAATGATCCGGGCGTTCACCGAATGTTTATCCCACCCTTGGGGCAAACAGTTTGTGAATTTCTATGGGTTTCCGCCAGGCGACCGTTTAGGTTGCTACGAGTGCTGGCTGGATGACTGTTTGAAGTTGCCATGCTCGTGGCTATGGGCTATGCCCAGGTTTTGCGGCGCCCGCCTTTGCTGCAGCCAGGCTGTCGTCGTTCCACCGTCCTCGTCGTGTCTGTCGTTGTCGTTGTTTTCTCTTTGAGGACCTGGCCCCCACTCGCGGGTTTCGCCACCAGTCCGAGTCAGAGTCAGAGTCGGAGTCCCATCTCGTTTCTCCCACTCCTCTCCTCTCTTCTTCCGTCGTCCCTTCCCCCTCCTTCTTCCTCTCTCCTTCTCTTCCCTCGCCTTTTCTCCTCCTCCTGCCTCCTATTGACTTCCCTTCGCCATCCTTGAGCAGAACGCAGGGAGAGGATGGGCAGGGGCAGGAGGAGGGGGAGCAGAAGGAGGGGGAGGAGCGGAGGGGGAGGAGAACGAGGATGCCAGGTAGCAGGGGCAGGTGCAGGAGCAATTAGGCCGTCTTTAGTGAGGCCGCTATGCGTGCGACTGGCAGCAGGGGCAGCAAGAGGGGGAGGAGGAGGAGGAGGAGGAGGAGGAGGAGGAGGAGGAGGAGGAGGAGAAGGAGGAGGAGGAGGAGGAGGAGGAGGAGGAGGAGGAGGAGGAGGAGGAGGAGGAGGTCGAGGAGGAGGAGGTCGAGGAGGAGGAGGAGGAGGAGGAGGAGAGGAGGAGGAGGAGGAGGGAGGAGGCGGAGGCGGAGGCGGAGGCGGAGGCGGAGGCGGAGGCGGAGGCGGAGGCGGAGAGGAGGCGGAGGAGGAGGAGGAGGAGGAGGAGGAGGAGGAGGAGGAATCGGATGATGAGGACGTCCAGGAGGATGTCCAGGGGGAGGAAGCGGACGGGGAAGTGGGGGGCGGAGGCGAAGCTCGAAGGTGTTGGTCAGGAGGATGTGACGGAGGCGGAATCCGACGATGACCGTGGGCCTGTGCGTGGGGGGCGAGGCACGGCCGGACGCGGACGAGGCGGCAGGGTGCGAAGCCCTGGGGGCAGGACTGGGTGTTCGACATCGACGACATGTACTTCCAGGAGGACGTGCTCATCGTTGCCGGGAACCTGGCGGACAGCAAGCTAGGAGCTCGCCCGCAGCCCCACGGCCAGTGCCCGTCACGTGTCGCGCGCCAGGCTGGCAGGGGGCAGGACCCCACGAGTTCTCCACGTTTGCCCAGGGTGGGTGGGCAAGGGGGCCATGGGGGGACCGGAGTGAATGAGGGGCGAGGGGGCGGTGGGCCAGGACTTCCACTCTTCTCCTGTTCCTTCTACTTGCCTTTTCGCCGCCCGACCAGACGTGCCAGTAGGTTGGTCTGGCTGATCGCTGCGTCTGAGACTTCCTCACCACTGGTGTTCTCGAAGCTGGCGCAGTTGCTGACATATCTGGCGAAGGCACGGGCATCAAGAACAGCATTCTCAGTCCGACAGCTGAGGCTGGTCCGCGAAGTCTCTCCCGTCTCTGCAGTGTAGGCGTCACCGCCGCCGCGGTCCTCTCCGCAGGTTTGGAAATTAGTTTCGACGCGAGGTGCGCCGTTGGTTCGGATCCCGCTTGTTTTTCGCGGGGGTCCCTGGCCGTGGGGCAGAGGCGTGGCAAGCGCAGGTGGCGCTCACCACAGCTCCCGGTGTGCGCGCGCGCGGGATCCACAGGGCAGCGTGCGGACGAGTCCCTGGTCGGCGCTCTCAGACACTGCCGTGGGGAGGGGTGACGCGCGCGAGGGGCGGGTCAGGCGACAGGAAGGCAAGCGGTGATCTGGCAGGGTGGAGGGGGCGCCGCGCGCTGCGGGGGGATATCCCTGTGTGGCTGGCCGGCGACCACGGCGCGGCCCTCCCGAGCGCCCCCCTGTCGCCATGTCCGCCCATCGCGCTCGGCCGTGGGCTACTGCGGATCTCGCCTCACCTTTCGAGTGTAGTCAGCGCCGTGCTGATTCTGCTTGGCGTGGCCAGCTGGCTGGCGCCCGCTGACGCAAGACAACTCGCTGGGGGAGGCCCTCTGCGACGGGTTGCTCTTCGGAGGTTTCCTCCAAGTCGGACCCTCCCCGCGCGCACCCAGCGTGATCTCGGCGCGCGCAGAGGCATCTCCGCTCTGAGGAGGAAGCGGTGCCACACGTGATCGGCAGTCGGCGAGTTCTGCTGGGCGTGCGAGCCAGACGGTCACCCCTCGAGGGTCCCACCGAAAGTTCATCCCGAGTCGTTCTGACTGTCACCAGGCACGGCGGGGCTCCTCCTCCTCCTCCTCCTCGTCCTCGTCCTCGTCCTCGTCCTCCTCCTCCACCTCCTCCTCCTCCTCCTCCTCCGCCTCCTCCTCCCCCTCCTCCCCCTCCTCCTCCTCCTCCTCCTCCTCCTCCTCCTCCCTCCTTCCCAAGGGTACCCTTGCATCCTTGCCCCTTTGGCCCATCCTCAGCGACTTTCGCTGACCATCCTCGTTCGAAACACGTTCACATGGGCCTCCAATGCGGCCCTCGCACCCTTACGGCGCATCCTTCTGATGCGGGTTGGTTGTATGTCCATCAGCGAGGGCGGCCTTTACTCGTTCTCAGTGCTCCTTCTCAGCTGCCTTGCGGAACTTGTTCCCCTCCCCCAGCCGTTCCCTTCCGGTGTGTGCTTTCCCATGCCCCGCCCTGCCCTGCCTGGCCTTGCCACGTCCCCCTGCCCCTCTTCGCCTCCAGCTTCCCCTACTTCAGCCACTTCCTGCCTGTAACCGCCGCTCCTGCGTGGCTCTTGTTGTAGACTATGCAGGCATACTCTGTGTGCGTGGGTTCTCCTGCAGCCTGTCCTGCCTCTTCTCCCACCACTGTTTTTTTCTCACCACCCCCCGCCCAGCGAGTGTTGCCCATTTCCCTGCCCGTTCCCCCCCCCTTTCTGTGACCGCCGCTCCCGCGTGCGCTCCTTTCTGTGCAGGGCTGCTCAGGTATACCGTTTGAGCATCCTTTCTTTGCTTTCGGCTCGCCCAATTCCCTCGCGACTGTCGCCTAGCGAATGTTGTTATCGCCCGCGCGCTCCTCCTCCTCCTCCTCCTCCTCCTCCTCCTCCTTCTCCTCCTCCTCGTCCTCCTCCTGCCTTCGCCTGCCGTGCCCAATTCGGCCACGTGTGTCCCGCGTCTGCCTCCTAGCGCGGCGGCCGTCCTCGCCGCGGCGACAGAGCGGGGCCCCCGCGCTGGCCTCGAGGGGCCCTGCCCCCGCAGGTTTGTCGGGCCTCGCCCCGCGCGGCCTCGACCGAGGCATCGCGCGCGTGCGCGACCCGAACCTCGGCGCAGTGGCGCCACGGCTAAGGTGGAAGGTGGCAAAACTGCGGCCAACGGCTCGGTGGGCGCAGAGGCTGCTGCTGGTGTTGCTGCATCTCGTGTTAGTAGTCTGGGTTTTTCTCCAAGGCACCCGGTGGGGGGTCAGGGCTCACAAATGCCCATCGGTCGTTGCAAGTGGGTTTGGATTCCCAGATTCGACTTTAAACGCTTTCTTACTTCAATGATCGAGTGGCTTCACCTTTTCCGTCTTCCTTAGGGAGCGGACGGAACCCAATCTACTTCCGACCGGTGGGTACCCAAGCGAGAATGGCAACGCCATGGACGTCGCCATGGCGTGCGAGACCCACGTCGACCTGGAGAGGCTGCTCAAGGTCATGGCACACATGGCTAAACACGGATGGTGATCGTCGGGGATTTCGGCGCCCCCCGCCACCAGGTCAGAGACAGGTGCGCCAGGAAGGGGGTTCCTTTTGGCGAAGTCATTTGGAGCGAAGTGCGTACGACGCGCTTTAGGGGAGGTTGGTGCAGGACGGGCAGGAGGACGCGTTCCGAGGATTCACGGCGGTAAACTACCGCGCGGGCGGGCAACCTTGCCCTGGTCTTTGCGTGCCCGACCCCGGGCGACGGCCCGTCCACGGCGCCGACAAGGGACAAGGTGCGCCCTCTGGTTGGGTTCGCCGCGTGCTGGAGAAGGTTCCGCAGGACGTGGGGGCGGAGCCCTTCTACATCACCGTGGTGACGTGGGCTCCTTCGGGGCAAGCTCAGCTCTCGGCGGAGCCCCCATCCTGGGGCGATCATCCTCCTTTTCGCGGGCGGGGGGCAAGCCTCAGCAGAGCAGGCGGCGACCGTAATATACGCTGAATGGGCTTCGTGCTTGGAGGTTGCGGCCATTTCCGCGGACGGCGTCCCAGGGCGTGAGGCAGAGAAGTACCGAAAGCGCGGGGCTGGTTTAGAGGTTCGATGGGCTCGGGCAAGTTCGGCCCCAGGACGCGCCCGCGTGAGGTGCGGCCCAGCAGAACAATGGGCAGCGTCCACACGGCCTAGGTCCGCCTGGTGGCTCCCCGCGCCAGCGGGGCGGACATGGGCCAGCGGCGCCAGTTCGCGGCGCCGGCACCCAAGGGGAAGGATGCGTTGATCGCGATGGGCCAGGGCCAAATTCTCAGCGGGGTTCAGCAGGGGGCAGGGCACCGAGCAGAGGCATAACCACTGCGGGATGCTGGGTGATGCGGCAGGCTTTGACGTGGGCTAGCTCACGGAGGGGCGCGCCGCGTCGGCGGAGCCCCCCCGCCGGCGCGCCAGGGGGCCGCGCGCCCCGTGGCTCGAGCTCCGCCAGAAGGGCGGCTCCGCGACGGCCTCCCCTGACATCATCATCGGCATCGAGAGGCAGGAGTGGGGTGCCCTTCGGGCGGGCCCCGTGGGCGACTGGCGCGGCCTCGCGCGGCAGATCGGCTTCCTGCGGCGCGATGCGGAGGGCGATCGCGTGGCGCGGCTTGCGCCGGAGATGCTGGGCGGGGCCATCTCCGCGTCGGCGGCTTCGAGGGCCGACGGGGGTCGACCGCCGGAGGCCGCGCGGTTTCGGCCGTGCACCCCGAGATGTGCGCGCGTGGCTGGCCCGCCTCCTGCAGCGCTGCGAAATTATGACGTGGCCGAGGCTCGCGCGGCAGCGCAGTGCGTGCTGGTGGCCAAGCGGAAAGGGGGATATCGAATCTTGGAAAGGCCGCCCCTGCGGTTGGAGCGCCGGTCGCGGGCCAGTGGTAGGCGCCGCGCGCAGCGGGGCGAGGGCCTCTCGGCGCGCCAGGGAGCTGCGCCGAGGGGCAGCTCGGCCCTGCGAGCTTGGCTACTGCGCGCCAGCTTCGGCGAGGTGGATTCAGAAGTCGGCGCGTCGGTCGTGGCGCTGCCCCTTCCACGTCGTCGCGAGTTCTACGACGCCGTGTCGCTGCGCGTGCCGATGCCGACAGCGGCGTCGGCGCTTCTTCCGTCGGCGGAGGCGGCGCTGGAGACAGCCGCGTACCTCGGCCCCAGGCGCTTGGTTGAGAGGTCCATCATCGGCGAGCCGACCTGGGCCACGAGGTTTCTCGTGGCGGGCCCGGCCAGGGGGGTCGGTCTGGCCGCGGTCCATTCGCGCCCCGTCTTGGGGGGGGGCGCGCCGACAGAACCCAGTATCCTCGCTGCGGGCGTATGTGGGCGGCGCGGTGGCGAGGTCGGAGGGCGGTCGAGCGGTCGTGTGCGAGCGCGTCATGGGAAGCACCGCGGACTTAGTGGGCGGGCTTCGGGGCCAGCGCGTGACGGTGTCGGCCAGCGAGTCTGCGTTGACCGGCGCGCGCCCCATGGGCGCCAAGAAGGTGGAACGCGTCCGCAGCATGAAGGGCGATCGTGGCCAAGAAGTCGCAGAGACGGTGGACTTGGGCATCCCCGCGCGCGCTGGAACGAAGGAACACCACGATGGCCAATCAGCGCGGCAGGAAGGTAAGATGAGGTTGGCGAGGATGGTCCGCTTGACCGCCTCCAGATGGTCGCGTCGCTGGCCAGGGAGCAATGGGTCATGGGCCACGGGCGCGGTTCCGCAGGCGGCGCGCGGGCGCCGAGCTTTTGGAATGGCGCTGCGTGAAATGCAACGACTTCGCCGCGCTGCTGGTCAAGTGGCTGGAGGCAAGGTGGGTGGGGGATGCCTGGCCGCCGCGCTGGCGGTAGAGCTGTGGCGAGGTGATCCAGAAGTTTTGGCGCAAGTTGCAGCGGTGAGAGAGCGGGTCAACGCGCGGCGGCGCCGCGCCGAGATCCGCGCCAGAGTCGCCAGGGCTTGGCCGCGCATCGACGACGGACGGGCGCGACGGTGCCGTGGAGTACGGGTCCCAGTGGGGGCTGCCATGGCGCCGCTCATGGACATTGGCGCGTTCCCACGGCCGCGGCGCGTGTGCGACCCTTGGTTGACGAGGGGCCATGCGAGCCATGGGGCGCCCCGCCGGCGTTCGACGGCGATTTCGGCCCCATTGGGTCTTGCCAGCTGCTGCTCGCGGACGCAGGGGCGGAAGTGAGGGGCCACCAGCGGGCAGGCGCGGCGCGGCGCGACTTCGGCGAGGCCTGCAAGCCGGGGGCGATGGTGGGCAGACGCGCGCGGAGTAACGGAGATTTGAGTGGGGGGGGCCAGCTCGACGCGGTCGGCATCCACCAGGCGGTCGTCGCACGCTGCCCATGGCCGATGGCCAGAGCAGGGGATCAAGGGCACCAGTTGGGCAGCTTGCTGATCGACACCTGCGCGCAGCACGAGGAGGCGCTCATGCGCCGCATCTGGACGTGCCCGTGGAACGTAGGGCACGACGACCTCGTGGAGACGGACGCGCTCCTGTTGGCCGCCGTGGCGCAGGCTGAGTCTGAACCCACGCAGTGCTTGCGCGGCCTGCCCCGGACCTTCCTCACGCACCTTGTTTTTCATGATGAGGAGATGGGTGGGAGGGAGGTTCGGTGCGTGGTGGGCGGGTGGGTGGGTGGGTGGAGTGTGCTACTTCCGATCGCCGTCGTCGCATCTTCGTAGAAGGCTCAGGAGGTCGGTTTTCGTCAGGCCCCAGACGCCGCCGATGTGGCGCCAGCGTTGTAGCGATACAGTGTAACGGAGAGGAGGGGGCCCTTGCCGTTGCTAGCAAACGGTCCCCCGCTCTGAAGTGTTGGATTTGCTGCTCTCGAGGAGTGCCCAGGATCTCTCGCGGCCGCGAAAACTTGTGTCCGCCGCCTGGCCACCCCCAACGCCACCTGTTAAAACAGGTGCCTGTTGTCCAGTGCCAGAGTTGCCTGTGTTTTCGTGGATGCGAATCGCGAGTCTCGTGGCCCCCCGAGTTTTTCCCTGTGTCCGGGTGGGGGCGCGATGTCCACCCCGCCCACTCTTTTGACGTGCGTGGATGAATGGCCCTTGCAGGTCTGCGCCCTGTGCGGCGTGTGCGCCGCAGTGCGCCCCCGTGCCCTACGCATGCGCTGTGTAGGAATGGCCCCGAATGGCGTCGAGTGTTTTAGCATGCCTGACCGTGGCATGTTTCTTAGACGCCCCCCCCCCCAGAGGCATCAAGTTGGCCATGGCCTCCAAGGATCAGCGTTGTCGGGGGGGGGTGAGGTCGGGCGGGAGGGCGCGCGTGAGGTAGGGCCCAAGGAAGAGAGCCCCCGTCGAGCTCTTTTTGTCGCCCCCGCGCGGTCACCCGAGCCTGCCCTGACAGGCGAGAGCGAGACCAGCCGCGCAGGGTTGCCAGTGGGGGCTCCGCGCGCAGGCCGAGGTCCAGAGACTGCTCTCCGCGGCCGCCCTGGAAGCATGTCGGGGAGCCTCCTGGACCTGTCTTGGGCAATGTTGCGGGCATCCTCGACCGCCTTCGTAGACTCTCAAGAAACTCTTGGGGGACCAGGCCTCGGGCGGCTCGGACGAACAGGGCGGGTCCGACTCTTCTGACCGACGGGCGCTGCGCCCGCCCGCGCCCTGCCCTCCCCTCTGGCGCGCGGCCCCTGCCCCGCCGGGCCGCGGAGGGCGCGGTGGCCCTCGCCCTGCCGCCTGGGCGCAGTGCGCTGGCCGCGCCGGGCTCCGCGGGGGGCGGCCGTGGCGAGCTGGCGGCGCTGCGGGGGATGCAGCAGTGCAGTGCGGCGGCTTTCGGCGGGGCGGAAGTGGGCTCCCTGGGCTCCCGGGTGGCGGAAGCGGCGGCAGGCGCCGCCCCGGGGAGGCCGAAGTGACGAGGGCGAGCGTCCGCGTGCCAGGAGCTCCAAGCAGCTCCTGCCCCGCCCCTTCCTCCCCCTCCCTGCTCATGGGAGAGCAACGTCCACGATCCTCCCCCCAATGGCGTGGATTCTGCTCCTCCTCCTCCGCGCTGGACTCTTCGTCAGGGGGAGGAGGAGGAGGAGGAGGAGGAGGAGGAGGAGGAGGAGGAGGAGGAGGAGGAGGAGGAGGAGGAGGAGGAGGGGAGGAGGGAGGAGGAGGAGGAGGAGGAGGAGGAGGAGGAGAGGAGGAGGAGGAGGAGGAGGAGGAGGAGGAGGAGGAGGAGGAGGAAGGAGGAGGAGGAGGAGGAGGAGGAGGAAGAGGAGAGGAGGAGGAGGAGGAGGAGGAGGAGGAGGAGGAGGAGGAGGAGGAGGAGGAGGAGAGGAGGAGGAGGAGGAGGAGGAGGAGGAGGAGGGCAGCATCGAATGTTTCTCCGGTCTCCCCGTCTCGCCCCCGCTGCTCTGCCTCCTCCCCACTCGCCTTCATCCTAAGATGTACCCTCCCCAGGTCATCTCCCACTGTCCCCAAGTCCTTCCCTTCGCCCTCCCCCACTCCCTCGATTCTTCTCGCGAGTGTTCGGGCCCTTGGCATCTAGTCAGGTTCAGACCCTGTGCAGATCGATGTGTGTGTGTGCGTGTGTGTGTGTGCGTGTGTCTGTGTGTGTGTGTGTGTGTGCGTGTGTCTTTGTGTGTGTGTATGTGTGTGTGTGTGTGTATGTGTTGTATGTGTGTTTATGTGTGTGTGTGTGTTTGTGTGTGTGTGTGTGTGTGTGTGTGTGTGTGTGTGTGCGTTCCCTCTCCCAGCGGGCGTTCCCCAATCTTCTGCGCACTTCCTTGTCCCAATCGTCCTCCTTCGCCACTGGTTGTTTGGTAGGCGACGTATAGGCTATACAACCACAGTCAACGGCTACTTCTACGAATCTACACTCGGCTCGACCCTGCGAACAGGAATGTCGTCAGCGCCACGGGAAGGGACGGACGGGATGGGTAGGATGTCAAATGGGATGCGAGCGTTCCTGGGCTGCGGAATGGCTCAATCTGATCATTATTCGCCTCTCTCTTCCAACTACGTCCTGGAAACGTCCCGCCCTCTCCGTGGGTTGTTTTTCTGCGCACAGTGTTTCATTCAGAATGGTGCTCCTAGCGCGGTCCATTTTTCGGGATCGGAGGTCAGCTCCGTTCCCCTCCTCCATTATTGTTTCGTCCTCCTGCTACTCTCGCTCCTTCCGCTTCTGCTCCTGCTGCTGCTGCTCCTCATCGCCCTCCTCCTTCCTCATCCTTCTCCTCTTCCTGCTCATCTCCCCTGCTCATCCGCCATTGCCCCCAGTGTACACAGCCAGCCCCCCTTGTTTCCCGAATGTGCATGGCACGGTGGTGTCACTTTGGGGGTCTTGGTCCTTTATGACACCCCTCGGCGGATGTAAAGACAACTCACTGGAATTTTAAGGGATGGGTTCGAGGGGTGGGATGCCTGATATGGTTCGAGCGCACCTAGCTGGCTTCCCCCCCTCTCTCATCGTCCCTATTTCTAGTGTTATAGTCAGGAGTTGTTCACACTTTGTCGAATTAAGTCCCAACGGGCCAGTCGTATCTCCCCCCCTCCTTGCTTCCAGGCCTCCCGAATTGGGTCTGTGCAGATGGGGCCCGATGATCGGGCCGCATCGTCGATGCATCGGCGATGCGGTTCGATGTGGAGTCAGATCTCCACGCCGATGGTACTGGTGCATCGCCAAGGTTGCTAATGCATCGCCGACATATCGCCGATCATCTATTCGGCCCCCATCTGGGAGGCCCCTATCTGTCGTCTATCCAGCTTCCCTGCGCTCTTCGGCGGCGAGCGCGGGGGGGAAGTGAGAAGCAAATGGCCTTCTCAGAAGGCAGCCAGGCTTCTCAAAAGCCTTGCTTTCCGAGAGGTCGTCTGTGCCCTCGAGGAAGGCTCAGAAACCGCTTCTCAGAAGGCTGGGGGACTTCTGAGAGACTCATGAGAAGGCCCGCCCCTTCTCGCTTCCCCCCCCGGGCTCACCGCCGATCTATGTGTCGTCTACCCCCTGCGCTCTCCCTTGCAGCGATCCCTGCGAAGCCCTGCCAGAGGCCTTGGCCGGCGTCCGTCGTACGTCGTCGTCGTCGTCGTCGTCGTCGTCGTCGTCGTTGTCGTCGTCGTCTTTCTCGTCGTCGTCTTTCTCGTCGTCGTGCGTCGTGCGTCGTGCGTCGTCGTCGTCGTCGTGCGTCGTCGTCGTCGTCGGCGTCGTCGTCATTGCTGTCGTCATCGTCGTCGTCGTCGTCGTCGTCTTCCTCGTCGCGGTGGTGCAATCCACGCCCGCCCGCATCCGGCAGCCATCTCCCGGGGTCTCACGGCCCTGCGGAGCAAGTTCCGGCGGGTGTTCTACACCGTGGGAGCCGCCGCGCCGCCCCCTTCGGGGAGGGGAGGCAGTGCGAAGGGGGCGTGCTTGGCGGGGAGTTTAGGGCACCCTCGGGGGTAGACTTAGGTCGGGCATGGCCCTCCACAGCAGGAAAAGTCAAAAATAGTCAAAAATCATCTGGGGATCATCTTTCGACTATTTCGAAACCGCCCCGGGCGGTTCCCCCGGCATCCGCCCCGCGGTTCCCCCAGTTACGTCCCCTTCAGCTTAGCGTTGCTTATCTCATCATAGCTTCGCCTAGCTTAACTTAGCTTAGCTTAGCTTAGCTTAGCTTACCCTAGCCTAGCCTAGCTTAGCTTAGCTTAGCTTAGCCTAGCCTAGTCTAGCTTAGCTTAGCTTAGATTAGCTTAGCTCAGCTTAGCTTAGTTTAGCGCAGCGCAGCATTAGCATATCATAGCATAGCATTGTATAGCATACCATAGCAAATCATATCATAGCATAGCATAGCATAGCGCAGCATAGCATAGCGCAGCATATCATAGCATAGCATAGCATCGCATAGCATAGCGCAGCATAACATAGCATAGCATAGCATAGCTTAGCTTAGCTTAGCATAGCGCAGCGCAGCATAACACAGCATAACATAGCATTTCATAGCATATCATAGCGCAGCATATCATCGCATACCATAGCATAGTGCAGCATATCATAGCATAGCATAGCATAGCATAGCGCAGCATAGCATAGCATAGCATAGCACATCATAGCATATCAAGGCAATGCATATCATAGCAAAATCAACAGCAAAGGCAAGGCAATGTAAAGCAAAATCAACACCAACGCGACAGTGTATATGTAGATGTAGATGTAGGTGTAGGTGTAGACGTGGATGTAGGTGTAGATGTAGATGTATATGTAGATGTAGATGTAGGTGTAGATGTAGGTGTAGATGTAGATGTAGATGTGAGTCTCGCTGTTGATGTAGATGTAGATGCAGGTGTAGATGTTAATGTAGATGTCGGTGTATATGTAGATGTTGCTTTCCTAGATGCTCCAACTCCTAGGTAGGGTCGCACAGGGATAATTCTTTTTCTTCCAAAATCCGCCTGAAGGAGGACTTGCCCGACCTAAGGGTAGACTCCCTGGAAGCACCCCTCAGGGGTCGAAACGGATCGAAATCCCTCTCTTGCCATGCCGCGCCCTGTAGGGCAGCGACCATGTCCAGCGGGGCAAGGGCCACCAAGAGAAGGGTCTCGAACGCTTCCCCACCGGCATGGGGGGAGTGCGAAAGGGCGTGCTGCTGCTGGACTGCGTGTATGGATCGGCGGCGAAATCCCAGCTTCAGGCGATCGCAAACACGGATCATGGGGGCGTGGATTAGCGACGGGTCCCGTTTCCATGGGGAATCGCGGATTTCCGCCGCAGAACGAGGCGGCACCGGCTGCATTTTGGGGAGGGCACCTCCCCCGATCCATGGATTTGGCGAGCGCGCGCCAAATCCATGGATTGCTAGTCCATGTTTGCGCGCCCCCTGGAAGTCCGCCCTCGCCGATCAACGATTCGAGGTTCGGGGTTGGAGGTTCGAGGTTTCCGGCGTTTCTCGTTGGCTTTTTTTTTTTTTTTTTTTTTTTTGTTTTTTGTTTTTTGTTGTTTTTTTTTTGGTTTTTATTATAATATATATATATATAAAGAAAAACACAAACATGTTTTTGTTGTTTTAGTTGTTTTTGGTTGTTTTTGTTTGTGTTGTTTTGTTGATTCTTTTTTGTTTTTTGGTATTGTTTTGTTTTTGTTCTTCTGTTAAATTGGAATGCCTTCCGGCGGCTGCTCCTCGGCGAGGGCGCTCCAGGGGTGCCCGCATCCGCATCGTCCCGAACGGCCGCCAGAGGCCCGAGTTGTGACCTGAAAGCCACAAGGCTGCTGGACTCAGTGTACGTATGGGTCGGCGGGGAAATCTGAACCCTACCCTCGCCGATCAACTATTCGAGGTTCGCGGTGCCAGGTTCGAGGTTTTCGGCGTTTCTCGTTTGCTCTCGGCGGCTCTCCTGTATCGGGATGCCTTCCATCGGCTGCGCCTCGCCGAGAGCGTTCCAGGGGTGCCCGCATCGTCCCAAACGGCCGCCGGAGGCCCGGGTTTTGCGAAAACCGCAAGGTTGTTGGACTCAGTGTACGTACGGGGCGGGACCCCTACCCCCGCTTCCCATCGATGCAGGAGACTCTATGGTTTGTGGGGGTCTAGGGTTGAGATGTCGCCACCTAGTGGGTCGACGGTCGAGAAGGGCGGGGCGGGGGAGGGTTGGGAGGGGAGTGGGAGGAGGATAATCGGACGGGGCTAGGACGAGGAGCAATCCATTTCAGAGCGTTTTGGAACGCTATCAGAGCGTTCCAGAACTCTCTGAGAAGGCCGCGGCGCCCCAGTCATCTTCCAGTCCTCTAGAGCTGCTGGATCTCACATATTCCCGATTTACCATCACCCGATGTTATCCTCGTCAAAGCTTCGTCATAGAGGAGGAGGGGGAGGAGCAGGGAGGAGGAGGAGAGGGAAGCGGAGGAGGGGAAGAGAAGGAGACGAGGGGTGCTCTGGTTGAGGAGGGGGATGGGCAGGCGGAGGAGGAGGGGGAGGAGGAGGAGGAGGGGGAGGAGGAGGAGGAGGTGGGGTAGGAAAAGCAGGGGGACGAAGTAGGATGGCCGAGGGAGGACGGTGGGTGGGGCAGGATGTGATGTGGAAGGGGTGAGGACGGAGGCGCAGGAGGGCCGGGAAATGCGGAGTATCTCTCGTTGAGCTCGCCCTGCGCCGTCCTCTGGTGCGCCGAGATTTTGAGACTGCGTGTTCGCCCCTGCAGGCGTCCTAGCGGTACACTGGCGTCATGAGGGGAGCAGAAGGATGAGGCAGGAGAGGATTCTGATGGTGGTGGTGATGATGATGATGATGATGATGATGAGGAGGAGGAGGAGGAGGGGGATGATGCTGATTGATGATGATGATGATGATGATGATGATGATGCTGATAATGAGGAGGAGGAGGAGGATAAGGAGGAGGGGGGTGATGATTGATGATGATGATGATGATGATGATGATGATGATGATGATGATGATGATGATGATGATGATGATGATGATGATGATGATGGTGATGTGATGGTGATGATGATGATGATGATGCTGATGATGATGATGATGATGATGATGATGATGATGATGATGATGATGATGATGATGATGACGATGACTGATGACGATGATGGTGATGAGGAGGAGGAGGGGGATTGTGATGATTGGTGATGGTTGATGATGATGATGAGGAGGAGGAGGATGGATTGATGATGATGATGATGATGATGATGATGATGATGATGATGATGATGATGATGATGATGATGATGATGATGCTGATGATGATGATGATGATGATGATGAGGAGGAGGAGGAGGAGGAGGAGGAGGAGGAGGAGGAGGAGGAGGAGGAGGAGGAGGAGGAGGGGAGGGGAGGGGGAGGGGGAGGAGGAGGAGGAGGAGGAGGAGGAGGAGGAGGAGGAGGAGGAGGAGAAGGGGGGATGATGATGATGGATGATGGTGATGATGATTGATGGGAGGATGAGGTGGAGGGGGATGATGATGATGATGATGATGATGATGATGATGATGATGATGATGATGATGATGATGATGATGGTGATGATGATGATGATGGTGATGATGATGATGATGATGATGATGATGATTGGTGATGAAGATGAGGAGGAGGGGGATGATGATGGTTGGTGATGATGATGATGATGAGGAGGAGGAGGAGGAGGGGGAGGAGAAAGAGGAGGAGGGGGATGATGATGATATAAGGATGATGATGATGATTGATGATGGTGATGTTGAGGAGAAGGAGGGGGATGATGATGATTGGTGATGGTTGAGGATGACGATGGTGAGGAGAAGGAGGAAGGGGATGATGATGATTGATGATGATGATGGTGATGGTGGCGTTGATGATGATGAGGAGGAGGGGGATGATGATTGAAGATGATGGTGAAGAGGAGGAGGAGGGGGATGATGATGATTGATGCTGATGATGATGATTGATGATGATGATGATGATGGTGATGAGGGGGAGGAGGAGGAGGGAAGTGATGATGTTTGATGATGATTGATGATGCTGATGAAGGTGATGATGATGATGAGGGGGAGGAGGGGGATGATGATGATTGATGATGATTGATGATGACGATGAGGAGAAGGAGGAGGGGGATACTGATTGTTGATGATGATGATTCTGATGCTGATGATGGGGAGGAGGAGAAGGTGGATGATGATGATGATTGATGATGGTGATGATGATTGATGATGGTGATGATGAGGAGGAGGAGGAGGAGGGGGATGATGATGATTGATGCTCGATGATGATGAAGAGGTGGAGGGGGGATGGTGATGATTGGTGATGGTGATGATGATGATTGTTGATGGTGATGATGAGGAGGGGGAGGAGGTGGATGATGATTGATGATGATGATGCTGATGATGGTCAGGTGGGCGAGAGGGGGATGATGATGATGATTGACGATGATGATGGCGATGCTGATAATGGGTGGTGATGAGGAGGAGGAGGAGGAGGGGGACGCTGATGATTGATGGTGGTGATGGTGGTGGTGACGATGATTATGATGATGATGAGGAGGAGGGGGATGGTGATGATTGATGATGGTGATGAGGAGGATGAGGGGGGTGATGATGATGGGTGATGATGATGATTGGTGATGGTGATGGTGAGGAGGAGATAGGGGATGGTGGTTGACGATGCGTGGTGATGATCATGATGATGCGGAGGAGGAGGGGGACGATGATGAAAATTGGTGATGGTGATGCTGATTGGTGATGAAGGTGTTAATGCTGAGGAGGAGGAGGGGGATGATGATGCTTGGTGATGGTGAGGATAGGATGGTGACTTTTGATGATGATGACTATTGATTGTGATGATGATGAGGAGGGGGAGGGGGATGATGATTGATGGTGATGATGATGAGGAGGCGGAGGAGGGGGATGATGATGATTGATGGTCATGATGGTGTTCATGATGCTGATGGTGATGATCATCGGTGATGATGATTGGTGGTGATGATGGTTGATTATGATGATGATGGTTGAAGATGATGATGAGGAGGAGGAGGAGAGGGATGCGGATGATTTATGATGAGGATGGTGATTATTGATCATGGTGATTGTGATGAGGAGGGGGAGGAGGGGGATGCTGATGATTCGTGGTGATGATGAGGAGGAAGAACAGGGGGATGATGATGATGATTGGTGATCATGATGATTGAATATGATGTTGGTGATGATGATGAGGAGGAGGAGGAATGGGGTGATGATTGATGATGATGGTGGTGATGAGGAGGAGGGGGATGATGATGATTTACGATGGTGGTGATGATTGTTGATGGTGATGGTGATGATGAACATGATTGGTGATGATGATGATTGATGATGATGCTGATGAGGATAAGGGGGTGGAGGGGGGGAGGAGGATGATGGGGATGATGATGGTGATGATGATGACGAGGAGGGGGAGGACGGGGATGATGATGATGATTGATGGTGATGCTGATGCTGATGATGATTGGTGGTGGTGGTGATGATGGTGAGGAGGAGGAGGGGGATGATGATGATCGGTGCGGATGATGATCAAGGGGAGGAGGAGGAGGGAGATGATTGATGATGCTGATGATGATGTTTGGTAATGATAATGATGGGGAGGGAGGATGATGATGAATGATGATATGGTGAAAATGATGGTGGAAAGGCGGAGGGGGATGATCATGATTGGTGATGATGATGATTGGTGATGATGATGATGAGGAGGAGGGGGATGATGATGATTGCTGATGATGGTTCCGATGATGATGATGAGGAGGAGGTGGGCCGAGGGATGATGATTGTTGATCATGATGATGAGGAGGAGGAGAAGGGGGATGATGATGAGTGGCGATGATGATGCTGATGAGTTGATAATGATGATGAGGAAGAAGGGGGTGATGATGATTGATGATGACGATGAGGAAGAGGAGGGGGTTGATCATGATTGATGAGGACGATGATTGATGGTGGTGATGATGATGCCGATGATTATGATGAGAAGGAAGAGGATGGGATGATGATGATTGATGATGATGATGTTGAGGAAGAGGAGGGGGATGATGAAGATTGATGATGATGATTGATGGTGATGATGATGATGGTGATGATGATGATTGATGGTGGTGATGATGATGACGATGATTGGTGATGATGATGTTTGATTATGGTGACGACGATTATGTTTGATGATGAGGACGATGGTTGATGATGAGGGTGGTGATGATTGATGATGATGAGGGGGATGATGATTGATGGTGAGGATGATGATGGTTGATGATGGATGATGGTGATGCTGGTGACGATGCTGATGATGATGATGATGATGGTTGCTGATGATGATGATGGTGATGATGATGATGATGCTCATGATTGGTGATTAGGACGTTCCCTGGCCCTTGTTTGGCTGATTGTAGCACTGAAGTTTCCTGAGGCAGCAACAACATTGAACAACTACGTGTACGTTGGTGTTTCGAGATGTTTTTCTTAAGGCTTCTCGTCCACTCCAGTGGAGTTTCTTGGAGGCTCGTGGGCCCTCCTTGACGCGAAGGTATAGACGATGAGGAGGAGGAAAATGGCAGAAGAGTATGCTGGTCTAGTGCCTCACGTAGTGGTTGACCCGAACCCCTGCGCCAGGCAACAACGAGATGAGGATACATCCTGCCGAGGACGACAAGTATCCGGATTCCCTGGCGAAGCTGATAGAGATTCTTCAGGTCACACGATCTGCCCCTCGCGACCTTGCCAGGAACTGTGAGCCAACCGTGGGCCGGGGCTTGGTGCACAGGGCACCTTGCCGGGTGATTCCGTGCACGGGCCTTGGACCCAGGATAGGCCTACAGTGGAGGTCCGTGCCAAGAGACACCCTGCTTGCCTGCTGGGTGCCCCTGGGTTTCTTGGGTTTCGATGGTTTTGCGACGGGCCGCGTGGCGCTCCCACACCAAAAATCAGGGGACGTCCCTGGGTCTCATGGTTGGGTTTCTTGTGGAAGGTTTCTCGTGGTCGGGCCTCCACTGTACAGACCCTCCCTGCCAGGTGATTCAGTGCACTGGCCCTGGACCCAGGATGGGCCCAATGGAATCCAGATACCTTTCGAGTCGTCAGCTCGTTCCAGAGACTTCCGGAGCGTCTCAGCACTCTCTGGAACGGCCCGGGCACCGCGCGCGTCTTCCAGAGTCGCCCCTTCTAGACTCCTGGCTGGTCCTGCTTTCAGGCGGTCGAGTACGACCACTGCATGGCTCCAGCCCTCTGCTCTTCTCCCGCAGCCCGAGCGTGCTTGATGTTCGGTGTGGCCTGAGCAGTCTGCTCGTCGTCTCCTGGGGCCTCCCCTGCTCCTCCCCCTCTTCCGGAGCGTCTCAGCACTCTCTGGAACGGCCCGGGCACCGCGCGCGTCTTCCAGAGTCGCCCCTTCTAGACTCCTGGCTGGTCCTGCTTTCAGGCGGTCGAGTACGACCACTGCATGGCTCCAGCCCTCTGCTCTTCTCCCGCAGCCCGAGCGTGCTTGATGTTCGGTGTGGCCTGAGCAGTCTGCTCGTCGTCTCCTGGGGCCTCCCCTGCTCCTCCCCCTCTCGCAGTCAACCCTCGTAGTAAGGATGGTCAACCTTCCCAAGGAGGAGGAGGAGGAGAAGGAGGAGGAGGAGGAGGAGGGGGAGGAGGAGGAGGGAGGGGGATGGAAGAGGAGGAGGAGGAGGAGGAGGAGGAGGAGGAGGAGGAGGAGGAGGAGGGGGATGGAAAGGAGGAGGAGGAGGAGGAGGAGGAGGAGGAGGAGGAGGAGGAGGAGGAGGAGGAGGAGGAGGAGGAGGGTACCCTTGCATCCTTGCCTCCTCGGTCCATCCTTCGCCTCTTTCGCTGGCCGCGCCCGGCTCGAAGAGCTTCGAACCGGCCTTTCTTCGAGGCCCTCGCATCCTTCTCGCGCATCCCCGCGCCACGGCGGGCCGCCCGTCTCCTTCCTCGCAGCTCCTCCCCCGCTCGCGCCTCCCGTGCCCCTCGTCCTTTCCCCCCCCCCCCGCTCTCGAGGCGCGCCCTCCCTTGCCCCCTTGCTGCGTGCGCGGCCGGGCGTGCTCCGCGGCCCCGGCCTTCCTGCGCCCCTCCTCGGTTGGGCGCTGCGTAATGGGGGGGTCATAAATGGGGGGTTGGCGAGGGTGGTCCGAAACGGTACCCAAACGGTACCTAAACGAGCCCCCTGGGGCTCTGGAGGGGCCCGAAAGGGGCACGAAAGGGGACCTTTTCTGACCCCCCCATTTGCGACCCCCCCATTAAGCCACGCCCAACTCGGGAGGTCCCGAGAGGCGTGGCCCGACGCGCAGGAGCTCCAGAGGAGCCCCCGCCCTCCCGCGGCCTCCCACGGCCGACCGCCCCCCCATATCTTCCTCCGCCCCAGAGGATCCGGCCCTTCGGCGTCGTGGTTCGCGGGCGATGTTTCTCCCCCAATCCCCGAGTTTCGCCCGAAAAGTCTGGCCGCTCAGAAGAATGGGAAAACCCTGGGATACACCCCAAGGGGGCTATTCGGACGCACCCCTATCGAGGATGGGCACCTTCCCATCGTATATCCCAGGGTTAGGCCCCAAATTTCTGGTCCATTCGGAAACCCCACGAAGCCTGGGATAGGGGTCGACATATCCCCTGTTAGTGGTGCGGCTCCGTGGACACGTGAGGGCATTTTATGCGTTCCCCTCCGCAGAGTTCTCGGTGCCCTGGGTGGTCCTGGCGCCGAGCGCGGAGCGCGAGTGGAAGATGGTGCAGGGCCCGTTGATCCTTGCTCGGAGGCATCTGGGGTCCGCTCGGGACCCTCGAGTTGCAGCCTCCGCCCGCGAGAGCGGGCGCTCGCGACGGGAGGTGTTCCGCTGTCGTCCTGGCCTCCCGCCAGCGCCGCCGACCCCGGGGGGCTCCGGAGTCGGTGATCTCCGCGGCTCCGTGGCCTTCTCCCTCCTCGACGTGCGCAAATCATCGAGAACACGCCAGCCGGATGGGGGGGACCGCACCCCCTCCCCCGACCCCCCCTCCCCCCTCTCCCCGGGAGGGTCCGGGGAGGGTTCCGAGGGGAAGTCCTGGGGGCGGCAGCGGCTAGAGCTGAGGGGGTCCCTGGGGCCCCCCGAAACACTTTGGGGATGCGCAAATCACTAAGAAAACGCTAGATTGAGGATCCCCCCCCTCCCCCCTTCCCCCCTTCCCCGGCCGAGCCACCCTGGCGACCCCCCCAAGCAGAGCTGAAGCTCTTGCTTAGGCTCTCAGAGCTGAAGCTCTTGCTGAGGCTCCTGGAAGTTCACACGCTGGATCGGCGGATTTTCGGCCTCCAGGGGCCCTTACTTGGCCTCCGGACCGTCAACAAAACGATCCAGGAGGAACACCCAGTATTGGGGAAGGGGGTCCAGACCTTTGGGGGTCGACGTTGCGATCAAATCACGACATCCATCTTGCCGAAGGAGGCCTCGCCTTCTCTGGGACAGCAGGTGAGGCCTCGCCCTCCCTGGCTTCGACCAACCGAGCCATTGCCGCAACGTCCCGAACTCCTGCGAGGGCCGGCGGGACGGCCCGACACGCAGGTCCTAATGAGACCTTCGTGCAGTGACGGCATCCTTGCTTCGGGGGTGCTCTTCCCCCTCCTCTGTTAAAATCTTTCCTCATCGTGGTCGTCGTCGTCGTCCATCTCTCCTTTCAACTTCGTCTCCCGTTTTCCTCCCGCACTGCCCCATATGGACCCCACGGGGCGCGCGGTGTCGCTGCTTCCCGTGCCGCGTTCGCACGGGATCGCTAGGCATCTGCGCCCGCCGTCGCTCGTCTCGGAGGGGCCCGCAGACGCCAGCACCTGGTTTACAGTTGGGTCGGACACAGGAGGAGGAGGAGGAGGAGGAGGAGGAGGAGGAGGAGGAGGAGGTGCTGGAGGAGGAGGAGGAGGAGGAGGAGGAGGAGGAGGAGGAGGTGCTGGAGGAGGAGGAGGAGGGTGGAGGAACTGGAGGAGGATGAGGAGGAGCAACATCCCTGAGCGATTCTCCAGAGCGGTGGGGTGCCGTGGAGCTCCCGCCCCCGCCATTCGCCGGGACTCTGCTCACTGCCCCGTCGTCGCTCCTGCGCGGGCGAGAGCTCTCGGGGGGGCGACGTCTCATTTCCCTGGGGCTGCCGAGCCGCGGCAACGACAGGGGGAGGCCACGCTTCGGGGGAGGGAAGGGTACCCATACCTCTACCCTTCCCTCGTTTTCCTCTTTCTGGCCCCCTGGGGGGCCCTCGTCGCCACCGCTAGATTCGCCTCGAAACTGTTGACGTGTCGCGTATCCCCACCAGCCCATCCAGAAGCGATGCCCAGGGGAGTGGAGGTGATCAGGGAAGTGGGGGAGCATGCAGAAAAACACGGGGCGGGGGAAGCCGTCGTATACCTACACGACCACCCTGCGGGTGATACGGAGGTTGGGGGGGGCAGCAATGGGCAAAAGTAGTGATTCTTGTTCTGACGATGCCTGTGGGGCGGAGTCTAGTGAGTAGTTTGATTGTGCACATGAGAGTGATGTGATGTGGCGATGTGATTGTGCACGCGGCGCCCACGGCGCCTTACGATTTGCATTTGGATGTGCAAATCGATTTGCATTTCGATGTGCTTTTCGGTCTGCATGTCGATTTGCATGCAGGCTTGCATTGGACAGCTCGCCGCAAGCGGCGATGTTTTAAAATGCGCAGCCCATGGCGGGACATCAGCGGGACACCAGCGGGACACCGCGGGCCACCGTATGACGGGAGGAGCATCATTTGGTCCGGTCGCGGCCCAGCCACAGGAGGATTTTGGGACACCAGCGGGACACTGGCGGGACACCGCGCGGCACCGGCAGCCGGAGGAGCAACATTTGGTCGGGCCGCGGCCCAGCCACAGGAGGATTTCCTCTCGCCCGCCCACGCAGCTTCGCCTCGCCCGCACGCACGCACGGCACGCACGACACGAACCCGAAACCGAAATCGATTTCCCGGTAGGGGGGGTCTCCGTTTCACGTCGGACTCACCCCCCAACCTCCGACCCCATGAGGGGGATGATGGAGGAGGAATCGTCGTCGTCGTAGGAGGAGCGGGAGGAGGAGAAGGAGGAGGAGGAGGAGGAGGAGGAGGGCGAGGACGAGGAGCAGAAGGAGGAAAAGGAGGGAGAGTTGGTACCTCGGGGATCCCCTTGACTCGTATGGGGTCACTTGGGAGCCTCTTGGAGGCCTCTTGGGGCCGTCTGGGCGCCTCTTGGGCCTTCTTGGGGCGCTCTTGTGAGCTTCAGGGGCGCTCTTGGGGCCATCTTGGAGGACATCGATCAGAAAAGAGGGGAGCTTCAATTAGCCTGCCCCCTTAGGAGCACCGAGCACTGCCTCCTGGACCCATCCTGGAGCGCTCTTAGGGCGCTCGTGGGCGCTCTTGGGGCCTCCTTGGGGCTCTCTTGGGCCTCTCCTGGGGTTCTCTTGGGTCATCTTGAGCCATCTTGAGGGCCTCGAGCCTCTGCATGCTCAGCGGTCGTCTTTGGATGGGCAGTTCCTGGGAACCAGCACCGAGCCCATGTGCGCGCCGCTGGGGGCAGGTGCGCCACGCGTGCCAGGCGCGCCACGCGGCCCAGGCACCCCTGGGGCCCGAGCGTGCCAGGCCCGCGTAGTGCGCCAGATGCGCCACGCGCTTCCGCGTGCGCCAGGTGTGCAGCATACTCCAGCCGCGCCAGGTGCGCCGCATTCGTGGCACGTGCAGAGTGTGTCAGGTGCGCCTG